TAAGATAATACCAGCCCCGGCTCTTACCCCCCGCCTGTTGCTTTAGGGATATAAAGGGTCTGAAAGACGGAGAAAAGCATCTCAACCCCAAGTCACGCCTCTTTCCACAACATCCAGGAGCCCACCATTTGGCTCCATGAGTTCGGATTGAGTTGGGTCGGAGCTAATCCATAGGACCTAAGTACCATCCTAAAGAAAGGGTGAATTGGAAACCTAAGACCGGCTCTAAGGATCGCCTCACTTATGGCCACGCACCCCGACCTAGGGTAGCAGGCCCTCTCTTCAGGCTCGGGGAGGATCAGATTTATGCTATCTGAAATTCTATATTCTACCCTAAGTCTCTCTAGGTCGGCCTCCTTTAGTTTGGGGGGGGGGGTAATTCGACGCCCCCCAGTGCACAGAAGTATCAATCGGGCTATCTTGCCTCTTTCATATATTCTCCCCCCCAAGTATCGCTTCGGCTATATCGGAGGAGATCGCCACCGTGGGCTCGTCCATCCTCACTAATTCTAGCTCCCTCCCCAAACCAGAACTTTCCTAAGAAGCCATTTTTCATAAAGTAAATGTCCTGAAAGTTACTGAAATTTATGAATTCAGAGGTTTCCCCAATCGAAAATGGTGTAAGGTCGTCGAAAATTGATATTTCTCGCCGGAAACGCTCAAAAAACGTCGAAAATCGCGAATTACATGAGAGCAAAGTAAATTTTCTGTTTGCACAAGGATGAAAAGCTTCAAAGACGCTCAAACTCCGCCTTTTATAGAACGCTCCAGCTGATCTCCACCATTGAATTCAAATGCAATCAATCTAGGCCATCTGTCGCATCATCAATCTAGGCCGTTGCAATGAAACGCTAGATTTAATCTACGCCTAAGATCTTGCTGTGACCCTTACGCTCACATAAAACGCGTCACCTCGGTCACCACCAGCTGTCGACAATAAGTAGCCGCAGCAGCCTTTTAGGGGAATGGGCATGGCACCCAACTGTCACCTTGGAAAAACGGAACAGGTGCCAAATCATTTAACGTCAGATGCCCGCCTTGGGTCGATCTCCTTACTCAACTTTATAAAGTTTAGACGCACTTGACGTGGGGTCCCCTATGGGTCATTGCCTCGGTCGCTGCGTTCCCTCCTAAGCTTTACAGAGTTTTAGCCATCTCCTAACGCATCGTCCCCTGTGGGTCAGCGCACCGATGGCAGATGGGCTCCTCACTCAACTTTACAAAATTTAGACGCACTTGATGCGGAGTCCCCTGTGGGTCATCGCCTTGGTCGCTGCATTCCCTCCTAAGCTTTATAGAGTTTTAGCCATCTCCCAACGCGTCGTCCCCTGTGGGTCAGTGCACCAGTGGCAGATGAGCTCCTTACTTAACTTTACAAAGCTTAGACGCACCTGATGCGGAGTCCCCTGTGGGTCATGGCCTCGGTCGTTGTGTTAACTCCTAAGCTTTACAGAGTTTTAGCCATCTCCCAATGCGTCATCCCCTGTGGGTCAGCGCATAGACGCATCTGAGGCGAGTCCACTGTAGGTCATCGCCTCGGTCTCTGCGTTGACTTTCTTCCTACGCATCATCCAGTCTTGCAGCACTTCGGTCTCACATGAGTAATTGTTTTCCTTATGCAGTAGCGAAGCTTTAGAGCATCTGCCTAAGATCATCGCTTCGACGAATGCAGAAGATCGGCCCTCAAATTCCCACAATTCACGGTCCACGTACCGAGGCATACACATCCGGTCGGGAAGGCAAGTCCACCTATGATATAAATATTAATACCTGGACTTGGGGGACCACTGTTACGCCCCTATCTGAACCACCTCGAAATGTCCACCACCACGCACTCCGATCTGCTAGACACCCACTCGAAGTGGCTCCGAAGTGATCTTCCCAATGTCAACGACCTGCTATCACACTGCGAGACATAGGCGATCCCGCTGAGGCCGAGGCGAAGTGCACTCCGGGGACCTCTGTCAGAAGATCCACCACCAATTTCAGAAGGAGATCTTTGCCAAGATCCTTTCTGCCCCGAAGGTTTAAGTTGATTTGACGTCTCCATGAGGCTAGTTGATGTGACTTATCAACTTTATGTCAACTCAATTTGGGAGAAGCAATTACCCGCCCACTCTACAAACGGGGCTGATTGACGCCTATGAGCAAACACCTCATACCGTCAGATGTATACACGTGCCCCACATCCAACGGTTCATCCCACCTATAAATAACCAAGGGTTGGCAAGAGGCAAAGGTAATGAAACTCTTACTACATAGCACTCCATAGCAAGCATATATATACTTTCTCCTCCCCCTTATTATTTTGCACAATCCCTGGGTACTGTTCCGACCACCTGAACCTAACTTGACCGTCGGAGTGTATACGGCCGCCACCACCCCCGCTGGTCCCGGCCGTGTGCGTCTGATCATGCGCAGAGAGGAATACGTGGAGTAACTCTCGGTTGGCCACATAGAAGGTTCAATTTTCGAGGTCAACACATGGCAAACCATGGATCATCATTTATTTGCAAATCAACAAGAAAATCATCATATATATATATATATACACACACACAAAACAAGTAGAACCAACCTGTGGACATTTGCATTCAAATGAGTTACAATCTTTACTGGGTCGGGCCTCTTGAGCCCGAGTCTCCCATACCTTGTAGATTTGAGCCTTGAGTGTGGGAACAGTTGCAGCAAATGCAATGAACCAAATGAGGGAAATTTTATTCAATTTTGGTCCCTCCATTGTTTTATTCTTAGTAACCAGATGTGATGCATGCTATAATATTCTTGCTTAGACCAAACCCTTTGGCTCTTTTGGTTCGGACCCTTGCTTGAACAGACAGACACTTTGTCGAACCACTTTGTATTCTTAAATGAATGCCTTATTATTTTTCACTTGATAAAAACATTGCTTGAATAAAAGAATTCTTTAACGATACATCCTTAATTACTTTGCGAACAATGGGGGAGGACCATTTCTTCCAATGGTAGTTACACACATATTTCTGCGTCTGCCATAATTTTATGAACTTTAGTATATAATTTACTGTAATTATAACTATAAAAATACATGGTGCAGAATTTTGTTATTACAAAATATATCCTAATGTTGTGGACCACACACTTCTGGACAGTTTTGATTGACTACATTAATGTACACATAATTTGCATTTGGTTTCAACTTGTGTAACCAAATTTGTATTTCAACGGAGGCACTCGCTAACTTTTATCTTCAACCATTATTATTATTATTATCATTATTAAACTTCATTAGTTAAACTCGTAACATCATTGTTCGAAATTAAAGATGAGCACTCAATTGCACGTTCAATGAAAGTTCAATACCAATGATACAATTAAGCCCTACTAAAAAAATATGGCAATATGATTTTATAAACTCGATTCACTAGATTAACTAACCAAAACTGAACACGTTTTAGCTTCTACTAACTTATCAAGCTCGTCTCGAGGAAAAAATCTGAACCAAAAAGAATCTTTTGTTAATTCTCTATGAGGTTGAAGCCACAAAATAATTCTTTGTGACAACATCAGACAGTACAAATTCAAACGAGGAATAAATCCAAAGATATCAAAATTGTTTACCATCACTAGAAGGAAACTAGAAGATTACAATGATAATTTAATATTCTTAAAAGACAAGTATTAAGAGTTTTCCTATAGAGTTAATATCTCCATGATCTTGATTTGATTTTAAATATTTTTATTTAAAAAAATATGTGATCTTAGGTAAAGGTTTCACGTATCTCTCCTTTCTAAGAAAATATTTTGCAGCATCTATGTGAAACTGAAAAATCATTGAGTCTAATTGAAAATCTCATTTCGATTTGCACGAAATTGATTAATAAAATGAGAGCTTTTTCATAATATGCAACTTGAGTGAAATGTCATTGAGGTTAATTTCAAATAATTCAAGTTTTTTCCTAAACGTTATTCATTCATCATTGTGAAGAAAAGTTCTAATAGCTTAAAGAAAACCTTTCAATCTATTGTTCATCAGTGTGTTATTTTATTTTATTTACTTATTTGATAATATTAATGAATTTTAAATAGTTAAAAGCGGATCTTACAATTAGAGTTGAGCAAAATTGGAACACTTCTACACAAAAGGGTACCTTTAATTCCCTTATAAAACTTTTGTATTTAGGTTATTATGGTGATGGTATAATGTTGATGAATCTAATATATATATATATATATATATATATATATATTTATTTATTTATTTATATTTTTTCAATTATGCTATAGTAACATAATTGCTAACATAATTCTTGACGTAATACCACAAGGTATCATATTAATAGACTATTTAAAATACAGTTAGCTTTTTCATCCAATCATCTTTTGTCAACACTTGTTCTGTCAAAGAATCAGTCAATATTTTTCTGTCAAAGTGACTTTACCCATATATTTTTTTAAGTTTAGAATTTAAATACTTTTGTACTAATGTTGATGAATCTAATATATATATATATATATATATATATATATATTTATTTATTTATTTATATTTTTTCAATTATGCTATAGTAACATAATTGCTAACATAATTCTTGACGTAATACCACAAGGTATCATATTAATAGACTATTTAAAATACAGTTAGCTTTTTCATCCAATCATCTTTTGTCAACACTTGTTCTGTCAAAGAATCAGTCAATATTTTTCTGTCAAAGTGACTTTACCCATATATTTTTTTAAGTTTAGAATTTAAATACTTTTGTACTAATTTCCTCCCTTTATAATTTTGAAAACATTTTCTCGAGGAACAAAATAACGATACACCTTAAGATATCTAATTACCAAAGAAATTAATTTTAGCCGTCAGCATATTATCCACGTGCCACATCTTGGTTAAATCCCCAAAATACCCCTCAAAATGAAATCTATACCGCATTCCAACAAATAAATCAACGACTCAGATATAACTGAGGCACCATTTCCTCCTCCATCAACCGCCCGGATTCCCGAGAAACACGTAGATGTACACTTACGGACCTAAATGAGGGCATTATTTGTATATATTCCTCAACACACCAGTCTCTCTAGCTCTACATTTTGATTCTGTGAATTTTGATTCTTCAATTTTAGGTTAAAAATCATGGGCAAAGGTCCAGGTCTTTACTCCGATATTGGCAAAAGAGCACGAGGTTGCGTTCTATATTTCAATTAGGGTTTATTTGCTTCTATTTTTTTTTTTTTTTGGCTATTTTACCGCTTTTTTTTTGGGTTTAGTGAAATTGTTTTCCGATTCGTTTTTTGTTTGGAACAGACCTGTTGTACAGGGATTACCAGAGCGACCAGAAGTTCACCATTACGACCTACTCTCCTACTGGAGTTGTGAGTATTTTATTTTTATTGATTTAATAATGTTTTGTGCAGATCTGATTGGTTTTTATTTTTGTGGCTGGAGTTAGGATTAGAGTTTAAAATTTTACCAAAATTGATTAATTCTTTTTTTTTTTTTTTAAATCGGTAAATGTAAAATCTATTGATCAAAACTCATATACAAACATAGATCAAGTGGCAAACAAAAAGAAAGGATGTACAAAAGATAACATCTAAGGACCCAAAGCTAAAGACTCATAATGAATTAAAATGTGCGAATACAAAGAGAACGTAGCTTTGAATACATGTGTTTCAATCTGTCTTACAATGCAATCAACTTGTGGCCTAAGATCCAAAAATCCTCCCGTTCCTCTCCATCCAAATGTAGTAGACAGAGCAAGCCAATGTAATCCTCTCGAGCTTCCTTTTTGATCCTAGACATCCCTCGACATTCCTTTTTGATATCGAAGACATCCCTCGAGCTTCCTTTGTGAGTGCTTTTCTATCCAGGAGGCTGGGATTGTTGACTTTACATGTTTCTGATATACAGATTGCTAAGATTCTCTAGGATTTCTGAGATTATAGAAATGGAGTATAATTGTATAAAGGTCTTGTCTCTCTGTCAGTATCTATATGTCGTTGTAGACACATATTTTAGAATCTTATACTCTTACCATTTTTTATTCGAGCACTTTTGATGTTTACAACTGTGAAGAAATTCATTTCATAATTTATTTTCTGGTGTTTCACATCTCCATTTGGTGAACTAATTTAGTTAAACTTATTAAGTTAACTACTTTCGCTTGTTATTGGAACTTGCAATTGATCCAACAATTTATATAATCTATCGGTTTACTGACTTGGAGCATTTTCAAAATAAAATATACTGGTCCAAATGATAATTGTTTTTGTGAAACTGTCAAATTCTCTTTTTACACCATTCTGTTGCTTTCCGAGTGCTGTCTATTGAACAGATAAATGTGATGTTGGATTTGTCAGACTACTGTCTTTTCCTCCTCCTACTATCTCTTGAAGGCAGTTCATTATGTATTATAGAAACTACTTGTATGAAATATGTATTTATAGATTAGATTTTGTTAGTCTATTGGCTATTCACGGTGTTCAGATCTGATTGCAGCCATTGTCATTTATGATTCTAATGGGTATGTCTTGATATCAATCTTAGTTTGTATGACCTCAAAATTTTTAATATAGTTTTGTTTATTTTCTCCAATTGCAGGCCCTCACATCAACAGGAACAAAAAAAGGGGAACTGTTTTTGGCTGATATCAACGCTCAGTTGAAGCACAAGAATATCACGACAGATGTTAAAGTTGATACTAGCTCCAATGTATGTTTTTTAGCACTCTTACCTAGTGTTTTGCAATATTTTGAAGTTACATTTACTTTATTTGTGGCTGAGAACATTGTCAAGCTTAGATTTCTTATTCTTTTGTGTTCTTTTGTTGACATTTCTTACAAATCAATAAATAATGTTAAATGGATTTATGCTTTGGTGAACCATATAACTGACTTATGGAGCCAATGCCAGCTCTTTACCACCATTACAATTGACGAAGCTGCTCCTGGAATAAAGGCCATATTGAACTTCAGAGTTCCTGATCAAAGGTCTGGAAAGGTGAGGGGTTTTGTCTTTAATGTTTATAGCATCATAAATCTTAGTGCTTGCCATGTGTAGTGTACCTCTAATTATTTTCCCATAATGACCACGGCAGTTGGAAGTGCAATACTTGCATGAGTATGCAGGGATAAGCTCAAGCATTGGGTTGACAGCTAACCCCATTGTCAACTTTTCTGGTGTTCTGGGAAATAATACACTTGCTTTGGGATCAGACTTGGCTTTTGACACAAAGGAAGGAGCTTTTACCGAGTGCAATTTTGGGGCAAGCTTCACAAATGCTGATCTGATTGCTTCTTTGACCTTGTGAGTGGTTCCCTGATTTGCTGGGATCCTTTTGGGGCTTTGCTACCCTATACGCTTTGATAAGTTTTGGATCCAAATGCTAATGGCCAGGTTTTGTTGATTCAGGAATGACAAGGGTGACAAACTGAGTGCATCGTACTACCACACAGTGAGTCCATTGACCAACACTGCTGTTGGTGCAGAGGTTACCCATAGCTTCACTACGAATGAAAATACCATCACTGTTGGCACGCAACATCTGTTGGATCCATTGACCACAGTCAAGGCGCGGGTGAACAACTTTGGAAAGGCAAGTGCTCTGCTCCAGCATGAGTGGCGGCCAAAGTCCCTTATCACTGTTTCAGCTGAAGTGGACACCAAATCTATTGATAAGAGTGCCAAGTTTGGTTTAGCCTTGGCCCTCAAGCCATAAGTGGATGGTTCAGTTTACCCATAATTTGGGAGGAATAAAATAGAAATGAGGAGCGTTATATCAGTGCTCAATACTTTTTCTTTCGGCGGGTTAATTTGGTGGGTTTTTTTTTTTTATGGATTTAAAAAATAATTAAAGTGGTTGCTTTAACTCATTTTGGTGGTTCTCATTGATCGCTTGTCGAATCTTAAATCTAGCATCTGTTGGCATCAACTTTGATTCTGAAAACTTTCTCAAATCAATCTTTTATTTCTTCATTTCGGAAATTTGACTTTGTCAACGTGTAAAATATATAATAGCGATAATCAAAATGTTCTTAGTATATTTGGAGTTAGTTCAGCTTTTCGCTACATCTGCTAGAAAATTCAATACAATGAGACGAGTGTAAAGATTGAAATAATTCGAGGAAATTCAATTAATATAATTAATTAGGGTTAAAATATTCGATTCTTCCCTCCTTGTTTTGATCAATACCAAGCACTCCTTGAAGCTGTATGTACTAGAACATCCATAGTGATTTTGAACTTGATGTCTCTCACCTGGCAGAATATAAGGACTCATAAGTGCTTCTCATTACGAAAAGTTGACCACTATTCCTATATACAATATGGCCATTTAACATTAGTCTTAAGAGGCTCAGATGTCAAAACTTTTCTCCCAGTTACTTTCATCCTTTAAGCCCATGTTTCTATCAAATTCCCTATATCATGTTCATCAAGTGCCCTGATTGTGATAGAATCACTTGACAAAGCAAGATCCATGTGGCTGTCATCTCTTGAAGCGAAATTGTTTTTTACCACATCTTGGAAGAGCCAATAGTAAGACCAAGTAGGTATTGCATCTGGATTGATGTGTAGGGAAATGGATGAAATATTCGGCTGATTGTCCATTTCCTCATCCCAAAATATCACATTGAAACAAGAGGAAATTATAGAAAACTAGGTACTAAAACATTCAAATTCAAATTTCAGGTATTATATATAATTAACCCACCCAATTCAATTAAAAACCCTAATCATTTCCCCTCTCTCTTCATTTCACTCTCACTCTCCATCTCCCTCTCGTCACTGACTCCTTCTCTTCATCTCCCTCTCTTCATCTTCCTAACTCCATCTCACGTCTTCTCTCCGTCATACGTTGTCGCCATCGGAGCATGTCGTTATTGGAGTTCGCTAGTGCTAATGTAATGAAGAAGCAACACGCTGTCACACTTTTCCCTTCGCTGTCCACCACGAGCTGAGATAGTGAAATGAAATCGTGAAGCAGATCCACCACTCCGATGGTGAAATGAAATCGCCGGAACACTGTAGCAACCCGTGCAAAGCATAAGTAGTTGGGTTGGTGGAGATTTTGTGGGTTTGGATGGTGTTTTGTGTGTGGTGGTGATGGCGATTTTGTGGTGATAGATCTAACAGTTTAGGTGGGGTTTAGATGGTGTTTTGTGTGTTGATGATGATAGTATTTGTGTGGTGGATGTTTTGTGTTGGTATGTGACCATATTTGATGCATGTGACCAATTATTTAGTTATTTGTGACCAACTATTTAAGCGTGACCTAAGAATTTGACAATCTGTGACCAATTAATTTGACCCTGAAGTAATCTGAGACTTGTAAATTTTAGATTCGTGACCTCGAAATAATTTGTCACCTACAAAATTCTAGATTGTGAACTCAAAATAATTTGTGATCAATTAATTCATATGTGACCTCAAAATAATTTGTGATCAATTAATTTGATGATATGTGACCAGAAAATAAATCTATAACCTATAATTATGAATCAGTGATCATTCATCATATAACTGTGACTTTATTATATTTAATTAATAATATTTTCAATTAATTATATAGATACCTGAATTTTGAATTTTTGAACTATGTACCTGATTTGTGAATTGGTGTAAACAATACACTTGAACAATGAATTTTTCCCTCGAGACAAATTCGTGGATGGGTCCAATCCAACCACATTTTATTTAGAGTTTTATCTGGCGGATCCTTAGGACAACATATAGGGAATGGTCAGGCTTACTTCGACCCCTAACATTGCAGAATAATACTGAACAAACAGGAAAAAATAGACTGATGTGGCAGCTCATGATTGAGTGTTTCTATGATTTTTTTCCCATTCTCCAATGAAAAACTGTAAAGTATAGTTTGGATTTTTTTTTTTATTTGTCAATGAATCTGGTCATGTAATATGATTGAACATCGTATTCTTGTATACAGAAAATGCCATCGATGGACCCGATTAATTCGACACCACAACGAAGCTCAAGATGTTCAGGCTTTTCTCGTCTCAAAAGTGTAAAAGTGTAGAGTTTAAGTACAAACTACTAACATATACTTGGATTTCGGATCAGTAGTGACAGTCAAGTAGACAAGTTCTATTATTCTTGTAATTGAAGTGCTGATCGATGAAATTCGAACTCTTGATGATGCATTTGAAGCACAACAAAGTCTTTATAGACAACTTTAACAAAAAATGTCCAATGTTATATCTTGATACATTTTAAAGCTTTAAAACAAGGGGATCGGCGTTCCTCGACCAATAAATTTTGCAGCAAATACTTTTGATAAATAATGTGAACCATTAAACTTAGATTGATCTATTTGTCTCCATCAATTATATTAAAACTCCTAAAAATTTATCTCGTAGCATTCAATCAAATCCTATCCATACACTTACTGACATCTCAAGCCTCTACAAAAAACTCTAGGATTTGATTTTTGTTTCTCAAATGGAGGATTTGATTAAAATGTTGTGCAAAGACACCGAACAATAATGAGAATCATTCCTTGTCAGTTTTAGGAAAAATTGTCTCGAATGAATGGACTAATTTGGTTGTGTAGACTTCATTTATTGTAATCATTTTCTTTAAAAGGATTGGTCGGTTAGTAAAATTGTCTTTTTTGGAACCCATTTCATCTGAAGCAAACTATATGAATAATTTGCGTTGGATAGGGGATGGTGATGAAGCCATTGAGAGAAGAATTAGGATGATGATTTATTTATTTATTTTATTATGATTATTATTTGTTGTTAACATTCCAAAAAATGCTTCTTAAAAGGTAATTGGTGATGTTCAAAAGCAATTAGGGTAAGATTAGCTGTGGAGAAATAAATTTTAAAGGATTTTTAATATAATTGATTTAGACCATTGGATTAGTTTAATTCTAATGGTTCGGATTATTTGTAAAATTATATGTTAAAAAATGTTGGTCAGAGACGCTCATCTTAAGTGATTAATATTAATAAAAATCATTTATTGAGCTTTTTATCATAGTCTTTACTCGAATTTTATATCATAGCTGAGTCAAGAATTTTGATTTTTCAATAGATCTTTAGTTGTTCATGATTGAGTGTTTCTATGATTTTTTTCCCATTCTCCAATGAAAAACTGTAAAGTATAGTTTGGATTTTTTTTTTTATTTGTCAATGAATCTGGTCATGTAATATGATTGAACATCGTATTCTTGTATACAGAAAATGCCATCGATGGACCCGATTAATTCGACACCACAACGAAGCTCAAGATGTTCAGGCTTTTCTCGTCTCAAAAGTGTAAAAGTGTAGAGTTTAAGTACAAACTACTAACATATACTTGGATTTCGGATCAGTAGTGACAGTCAAGTAGACAAGTTCTATTATTCTTGTAATTGAAGTGCTGATCGATGAAATTCGAACTCTTGATGATGCATTTGAAGCACAACAAAGTCTTTATAGACAACTTTAACAAAAAATGTCCAATGTTATATCTTGATACATTTTAAAGCTTTAAAACAAGGGGATCGGCGTTCCTCGACCAATAAATTTTGCAGCAAATACTTTTGATAAATAATGTGAACCATTAAACTTAGATTGATCTATTTGTCTCCATCAATTATATTAAAACTCCTAAAAATTTATCTCGTAGCATTCAATCAAATCCTATCCATACACTTACTGACATCTCAAGCCTCTACAAAAAACTCTAGGATTTGATTTTTGTTTCTCAAATGGAGGATTTGATTAAAATGTTGTGCAAAGACACCGAACAATAATGAGAATCATTCCTTGTCAGTTTTAGGAAAAATTGTCTCGAATGAATGGACTAATTTGGTTGTGTAGACTTCATTTATTGTAATCATTTTCTTTAAAAGGATTGGTCGGTTAGTAAAATTGTCTTTTTTGGAACCCATTTCATCTGAAGCAAACTATATGAATAATTTGCGTTGGATAGGGGATGGTGATGAAGCCATTAAGAGAAGAATTAGGATGATGATTTATTTATTTATTTTATTATGATTATTATTTGTTGTTAACATTCCAAAAAATGCTTCTTAAAAGGTAATTGGTGATGTTCAAAAGCAATTAGGGTAAGATTAGCTGTGGAGAAATAAATTTTAAAGGATTTTTAATATAATTGATTTAGACCATTGGATTAGTTTAATTCTAATGGTTCGGATTATTTGTAAAATTATATGTTAAAAAATGTTGGTCAGAGACGCTCATCTTAAGTGATTAATATTAATAAAAATCATTTATTGAGCTTTTTATCATAGTCTTTACTCGAATTTTATATCATAGCTGAGTCAAGAATTTTGATTTTTCAATAGATCTTTAGTTGTCGAAATATTCATCCTCGCTGAAAATTTTTCTATAAAAATTTCACCTTCATAACTACAATTTAACTCTTTAAAGCAAATCCATGTCCTCTTCCTTAAGTAAAATGTCTGTAAAAGCAAATCTAACTTTTTAAGTTACATATTTCATTACATCAATTTCTTCGCTAATTTACTTATCTAGAAATAAGTTTCGATTTTCCCAAAAAAAATAAAAAATAAAAAAATAAAAAAAATCCTACTTTAAAGAAACATTCCTGCTGCTATATTAGCAAAAACTGCAAAGTATCTTTACACAATAATCAGGTGGTGTAAAGATGTTGAGAAAATTTCTGCTCCAAGCTTCCATTCGTCGTAATTTTACAGCTTCTTCATCATCATTCGTATTCCTTCGACAATGTTCCTCCTCCTCCTCCTCTTCTTCTCAAATCCCAAACGGTCATTTCGTCGAACACTTGGAGAATTCCGCAGAATCCCCACCTTCTGCTACAATTTCCATCGATCGCACTGCCTTGTATAATCCTCCTGGTATTAGAAAGATTTATTTATACGATTCTGTATATTTTTTCCCCTTTTATGTTTATTGTGAAGGTTGGATTTGTTTATATGTAGAGCACTCACACGAACCGTCTGCTGAATCTGAGCTTGTTAAGAACCTCAAAAATATCATAAAGGTAGTTGATTTTCTTGGAATACTATTCAGTTTATTCTTCTGTTTTTAAATTTTATATGGGTTCCGTGTAATAAGAAATTTGAGGGTATTTGGTTCTTTTTTATATACATTAGTTTCGAGGGGGGCCAATTACGGTTGCTGAGTATATGGAGGAAGTCTTGACGAATCCAAAGGCAGGGTATTATATAAATCGAGATGTGTTTGGAGCAGATGGTGATTTCATTACTTCCCCAGAAGTGAGCCAAATGTTTGGAGAGGTAAATTTGATCTACTGAAGTTTTCTTGCATTAAATAGGAAAAAGTTGAATTAGTATAACTTGAACATATTGCGTTGATTAACTCGTCCTTTTCACTCAAGATGATTGGTGTTTGGGCAATGTGCCTCTGGGAGCAAATGGGAAAGCCAAATAAAGTGAACTTAGTTGAGCTTGGACCAGGAAGAGGAACTCTCTTGGCTGATCTTCTGCGTGTACGGGTTCATAGTTTATACTAAATTAATCTCACTCAGAACATATTGCAATGGCCATGTAATTCTTATTTTCAGGTTTGCGTTGTTTGTGAAGTTTGGAGTTCAAATTTCAACTGAAATCGAGTGCTATTTTATCTTTAGGGTGCGTCAAAGTTCAAGAATTTCACGGATTCTTTGCACATTCATATGATTGAATGTAGCCCAGCATTACAAAAACTACAATACGAGAACTTGAAGTGTACGACTGAGGATGGTGCTGATGAAAATGAAAAAAGAATTAACAGCACAATAGCGGAGTCCCCTGTATCCTGGCATGCGATGCTCGAGCAGGTTCCCACAGGATGTAAGGAACTTGTATATCAATCTTCATAACCTCATTATGTGTTCTGTATTGAATCTGTTAGAAGTATGACAGTCTTGAGCAAGCTCATCTGCTTCTCCATGCGAGTTGATCTAAATGGAAACGCAAACATTTAGTTGCACATATTTTATTTGCTTTTATAGCCTAACTAGTGGACTCTACTCTTTTCTGTGACATCTAGAACATTTAATTATACTGCATCATCAGTGGCAAAATCATATTACTGGGGAAGGAGTCACTGGAAATAATTAAAGGAGTACATTCAAGAAATGATCACTTTATATGATCATTGAAGGCTTTTGGAATAGCTAGCAATGCTATTTATTCTTATTTAAGACATGGGTTTTATAATTTTTTTTCCCCTTTCAGTGCCTACAATCATCATTGCCCATGAATTCTTTGATGCTTTACCCCTCCACCAGTTTCAGGTTTGTCTATAAACCTGTGTATTTAGTTGATGCTTCCAATGCTTTGAGCTCTATTACTGTGAGATATTTGCCTTTAACTGAATGATATCCATTTTCCCTCTGATTTATTTAATGCAACTTTGAAATAACATTTAACATTTATTTATTTATTTATTTTTTGTGTGCGCTATTGATATTCAAAATTTTTTTGAAGTGCTCGAGCTCCTGTATTATAAGAATGTGTTGGATCTTATTTCTTGCAGCCAATTAGTCTACAATAGTTTCTATGATCTTCCCCAGCATTGACGTGTAGACAAGTTGTTTGTAAATTTTGGTTTAGTGACTTGCTGTGGCCTAAAGTATATGATTCTTTTACGATTTTCTTGCAGAAAGCTTCCCGTGGTTGGTGTGAGAAGATGGTTGATATTACTGAAAATTCGTCGTAAGCTTTTGACCCCCCTCTGTCATAGTTTATCTAATTGACAGCATTTTTCAGTAATGTAATTTCTTTTTCAAATTCATTTGTTAGGTTTCGTTTTGTTTTATCTCCACAGCCCACACCTGCAACTCTCTATCTCATGAAGCGCTTCAAATGGGCAGAGACTGAAGAAATTGCAAGGCTTAGTCATATCGAAGTTTGCCCCAAAGCAATTGATTTGACCCAAGAAATCTCGAAAAGAATAGCCATTGATGGTGGCGGGGCTCTCATAATTGATTATGGCGTCAATGGAATAGTCTCAAATAGTCTACAGGTCCATAGCTTCTGGATCTCACACCCTGTACACTTCAGTAGATTTTTGAAGATTGACTCCGACTATTCTGATGTTTTTCTTTTACTCTTTAAACCTAATGGAAATGCTTATATGAAAGAATGAAATGAACTTAAGATGAGGACTGCGAGAAATTTAACTGTGGTAATGATACGATCCTATTTGCATTAAGCGTCAAGTACAAGTTAATACCCCCTTCCCCCCTCCAAAAAAATAAAATAAAAATAAAATAAAATGTCTCTCAGTGCAACTTCCTAGTTGCCTCGTTCAATAATATTTATGCAGGTATGATTATTGGGCTCAAATTATAAGGTAGAACTACTACTTTGATATTTTAATGGAAGTACTATGCCTCATGGTTAGCGTCTTGTAATTGCCATTTGTGCTGGAAACCATTTTTCTTTTATTAAATAATAATAACATTTCTTTGGCAAATGTGGTCACAGCTTACGGTTCAATGTTGCAGGCAATTCGAAAACATAAGTTTGTTGACATACTGGATAATCCTGGCTCAGCTGATCTCAGTGCATATGTTGATTTTGCTGCAATTAGGCACTCTGCTGAGGAAGTTCCTGGTTTTTGTCTATACTTTTATGAGTTTATATTTTCTTTCTTAATTGCTGTGTTTGTTTCAATAAACAATGAAGCCAAAAAGAAAAAGAAAAAAAGAACTGTTATTCTGAGAAATGTACACATGAAGGCTGGGGTTTTGATTTCTGCAGGTGCGTCTGTCCATGGCCCAATGACACAGTCTCAGTTTCTTGGTTCTCTTGGAATTAATTTTCGGGTTGAAGCACTTTTGGATAACTGCACAGAAGAACAGGCTGAATCTTTAAGGACTGGATATTGGCGTCTGGTTGGTGAAGGTGAAGCGCCATTTTGGGAGGGTCCTGATGATCAAACTCCAATTGGCATGGGAACAAGATATTTAGCAATGGCAATCGTGAACCAGAAACAATGTGTTCCAGCACCATTTCAATAAAACGATTTTAAGTCGCTAAGATATTGTAACCACCTGTAAATTACTAGCTGTTATTTTTATTTTATTTTTCAAATTTTTGGTTTCGTATCGGTCTTTCCTTCTTTAAACATTTCTATTATATGTTGTTTTTATGGAATAAACCTTTTAATCCATTTGTTGAAATTTTGAACAACAATTACCGTGTAAAAATAAATTTTGAACTCTGTTCTCTGGGGGGGATTCCACAGTGCTAAATAGTATCACAAAACAAAAAATCTTGTACATTATACTGTCCATTACAATCTGAACTTGTATATCAAACATACAATTATTCTTGTATAACAGAAAATTCGCTGAATACCCAAGAAAATGGAAGTTCAAAATCCTCCTCCTGTGATTAAGGTTTTAGCATCTTTGGAGAATGTCTCACAAGTGGTGAATTCATTATGTAAAAGAGGGAGTTGCTGGCAAAAATTCATCAGCCACTGCAAAAACAAAAACATATAAAGCTTCTTTTTAGTACGAGCACATGTAGTTTACACTAATGTCTAATCCAATGTACCAAAACTTCAGCAAGTAGAAATATCATAGACGCACTTATATATAAACCAAACAACACAACAATATTAATCGAGCAGAAGCTTGGCATTTGCGAACCTTTTGATGTTGATGGAACTACAACAACATGCATAGTTGCATTGTTGGGAGGTAGAGCCAACCGCAGAGGATAAAGCCTTCCATTTACTTTGTTTCGCGAACACACAATTATATTCTCAATCCCAGTTTCTTCCTCCAATTTTTGGATCAAGTCCTCCAAGCCATTCCCTTTAAATTGAAATGAAGTCTCTTCAGATTCATCATTAGCATCCCCACTATCATCCACCACATTGTAGTATATGAGCCGGCCTTCAGATTTCTTTGGGGATTCATCAAGTGAACCACTGGACTGAGTTTGGTAACAGCAAAGTATAAGAATTGCTAAACATCATAAGCATTGAAGACTTTAAAATTTAGATGAGCTAATTTAACGTGACATCAGAGGAGCTGAAAGTTCCAACTTCAAGACTTGCTGCCATTCATTTATAAAAATTGTGTACGTGCTAAACATGTCTAGGCCTTGATAGTTCAATGTGTTACCATTAGAGTAAGTTGCAGGGTCAATTCTTGTTGCCACTATTTATAAAACTGTGCAGGTGTTGACACTTGACACTATGTTTTTGGGCTTTAGGAGATCTAGAGCATGTTTGTCAGGACTTCTGATTTGCTTCCAGTAGAAAGCTTCATGAGAAAGTGATATTGAATCCGAAACATATTCAGAAACAGTTCATTTAAGCTTTTCAGAAGTTTAACAAAGAGAGAACAAACCTCATAACTACGAAAACCGGGGGATCTCAAATTAAATGAAGCAGTGCTCAAGTCTCCCTCCAAGGTATCAGATCGTGTAACTTTCGGGGGCGAATCAGGTCGAGTTTCAGTAATATCAACTTCCCATAAAATCCAACCATGATGTCTATGAGGAATATCATGCGTTATTGAATTTCTCCACGGAGGCAAACCCCCATTTGCGCGCAAAAAATTACCGTATCTTGATTTGAATTTTACCTGCATTCCATCTCTAATGGGCTCCCATTCAATTGATGAATCCAATTTTCTGGGCATAGTTTGAATAACTTTACGACCAGTCACTCCAAGAAGGTATTGTTCGTCCGAGGCTGAGAGATATTTCCCATAACAGCTTTTCAAACGCAAGACATTTTCGATTCCTTCCACGAATTCGACTGTCCATTTCACGGATTTCGATGAACCCTGGCGATCTTGGACGACGGTTTCTTCGTCTGAATCGGCTGTTAAATATTTATCGTGATGGCTCTTCAGCCGGACTGATTTTGCTTTTTTGAAGAATTCCATTCCAGAAACCTACAATCAATTGAAACCTCAGTGAATCAGATATGAAATTAATGGGGAAAAAAATCAGTGAATCAAGTATGAACTTAATGGAAAAAATTGGCTCTTGATCTGGCTTTGTACCTGCATTTTGGGATTTGTTAAGGAATTCGATTTGGGTTTGATCAAATGTGAAGTTATTGGAGGCGAAGACGCGGCCCCGCGGAAACGGTGTTTTATTTCTTTCTAAGTTGAAAAAAACGTCGTTTGTTGTCGGCAAATCCGACCGACCATTTTTTTTTTTTTTTTATTAAGGAGATCTCAATTAATTTTGCAATTAACTATCAAGTCAAGAGTGTCTAAAGTGTAGATTTTTTGGGAACCCAAATAATTAAATGGGGAACTTTTTCTAAGGGAACCATTTTATTCAAAGTCAAGATGAAAACAATAGAATTTGAAAATTTTGGCCCCGTTTGACTCATGTTATTTGGAAAAAATATATTTTTAAACAGTAATTTAATATCATTCAACCATACATTTTTTAATAAAATAATATTACACGCAAATTCAAAACTTTTCTTTATTTTTTAACTACACATTTTCCATCAATACACTATTCAAAAATGAATTTTTTCCAAAATAATATGGCTCAAACAAGACATTAAACTAATTACAGTTGTGTATATTAAAATAATGTGAATTTTATTTTTTTGTACCTTGAACTTGTAGTTAGGTTAGCGAACTTGATTCTAGGTGATATAGAATGAATTCTTGTTTGAGCCAAATTTATTTCTAAGAATACATTTTTGAATAGTGTATTGATGAGAAATGTGTGATTAAAAAATAAAGAAAATTTTTGAATTTACGTGTAATATTATTTTATTGAAAAATGTGTGTGATTGAAATGATGTCAAATACTGTTTAAGAATGTATTTTTTTGAAAAAATATGACTCAAACGTAACCACAATCTTATACAAACTAAGTAATAATATCTTACATCGAGTATCAAAATTAGAGATCATGTAATTTGATTCGATGCTTAAAAGCAGGAGCGTGATTGAAGTAGGGTGGATCCAAGAGTAGAGTTGAGATGGATTCTCGGACATTATTTTGGATGATATAGAATTAATTATATTTGTGTCATGAGCTATAATTTTGGGCCAAATTGATGGCAAGCATCCGAAACAAACATTTTTCCATATTTTGTATAGAAGTCCCTAAGTTATTAATTTAGGTACTTTCTATTTTTAAAGTTGAGCAAATTTTGCCTTGAAGTTCCGTAATATGCAAGTTGATCCCTGATTTTTCATCATGATGCATATCGGTCCTTGAGGCTTCATCTTGTTGCAAGTCAGTCAATGAAGAAACTGAAATATGCATTTTGTTCCTAGAAGTGTCTAAATTATTGGAAACGGTATATTCATTTTCAGGTTATTTTAGAATGACTCCTAAATTTTCTGGAAGTTGCAATTCAGACACTAAAGTTTTATGATTGATGCAAAATGGTCCTGAATTTTCTAGATTATTCAAATCATTCCCTGATTTATATATTGCCTTAGTAACTAGTTTGGTTGTACCGCCAATAAAACAATTTTTTTTTTTGACGTATAGCAAATTGCCTTTTATTAAGGTAAAATTGCAATCGAGGTACCAAACCTTTCATTTGTTAGTAGACTTTGCCCAAACGTTTAGTTTGTGCAACCCACGATACCAAACCTTTCAAAAACTTGCAGCAGAAGTCCAAATTGATTGAAACTGTTAATTTGACCGTTAGTGACCAAAGATTTAATATTGACCATTATTTTGACTAATTTTAAAAGGATAAAATGGTAACTTTACATTTTTCAACAAAAAAATAATTAATATATATTAATAATTAAATTAAAATACAAAAATACTATTCATCTTCTTCTCCATTCCCACCCACCCAACCACCCAACCACACCACAAAACCAAATCCCACCAAAAAATCGGCACCCACCATAGAGAATAAGATGACAAATATAAATACTACTTAAGGGCTGTATACGTGGGTTTTCGACTTCTATCATTCCAAATTTAAGTTCTAGATTTTGCCTGTTAATGGCTTTTGGTGGGTGTTGGTTTTGGGAAGTGGGTAGGTGGGAGTGTGTAAGCCCAGAAACGACATCAGATCTCAAAAGCTTGATATAATAATTAGTTGCCCATTGGAAAATTAGGAAGAAATACTGAAGTCCAAGAAGTAATTTTCTAAACCATGTTTGTTTCTTAAATCTGTGAAGTGGATCGTCGGGGAAAAATATTTCCGAGAGCCTCAGTCGGAGTTTCTGAAGAGTGGTTCTGTGCGGTGGCAAGCACACTTCATGGGTTTCCAACGGCGGCATTGCATCTCAAGAAATTGTTGTGGCAGTTGTGGTGCTGTCGCTGCTGCTAGAAAAGTGCTCCACTCTGTTGGAATTCAAAACCATTGTTGCAGAGGTTAAACCATCCGATGAACTAATGGGTGGGTGTCGATTTTTTGGTGAGATTTGGTTTTGTGGAGTGAGTGAATGGAGAAGAAGATGAATAGTATTTTTGTATTTTAATTTAATTATTAATATATAGTAATTATTTTTTTGTTGAAAAATGTAAAGTTACCATTTTTTCCTTTTAAAATTAATCAAAATAATGGTCAATGTTAAATCTTTGATCAACTAACGGTCAAATTAACAGTTTCCATCCATTTGGACTTCCACTGCGAGTTTTTGAAAGGTTTGGTATCGTGGGTGGCACAAATTAAAGGTTTGAGCAAAGTCTGTTAATAAACGAAAGGTTTGGTACCTCGACTGCAATTTTCCCTTTTATTAACTATGCTTAAAACGTTGCAATCGCCTTGGATTTCATAGAAGGGAAAAATACATATATATCATAATTTCAACATACATTTTTAAATTTAAAAAACTTGATGAATTATTTCAAAAATCAAGTGATCATTCGAGACTTTTGATAAAATTTTGTGACTTATATTTAATTGAACATGTCAGGATCACAATAAACACATAATTTATGATTATGATCACATGTTACCCACAAATCACACGGGATCATAGTCACAAAAGATACATTTTGTGGTTAACAATTCTATATTTTAAACACAATCCACGTATTCAATAGATAATAAATAATTTATTTGTCATAAATTAGTCACAATTACTTTCATTTCACCCTACATCGCTATCATTGACACCATCCAAATTGTCGCTATTGCCTCAGATCCACAACCCCTCACCACCACCATCATCTCAATTAACAACCAAACCACCTCCACCACTAACGCAGCACCACTACCATATGCAATCCTACAATTCCACTAACATGATGAGTTGAGTAAGGATTTGAATCTCTTTTCGTAGAGTCCATCCATAATCTAACAAATTCTATGGCTTGCAGGGTTTGGGCCAGTTGGACTATACAAAACCCATTATAACAGGGTCTGGATTGTGAGCACATTAGGGGTTAACTTAAAGGAGGGTGTATTCAATTGAGATTTTCAATTACTTTTTGGGATTTAAAAAGTTTAGAAGTATTCAATTGAAACTTTTCGAGATTATCTAAAAGTCACTATGTATTCAATTGAGACTTTTAAAAAGTCTCTAAAAGTTACGGTGTATTCAATTAAAACTTTTTAAAAGTCTCTATAAGTTTTAGGATATTCAAATTTTAATTACTTTTAGACACTTTTATAAAAGTATCTGGAACAATAATTTTTAAGCAGAAAGTACTCATATAAAATCTTACAATTTCTCTATCATTAATCACGAGATTTTGAGAGACTTTCACAATTTTTTTCAATCTTTTTTCTTCTAAATTTCAATGGACATGTATGATTAAAATTTATTTTTATTCTATTGATTATATTTATTTCTATTTATCTTTCTTTCTTTCTTTCTCTCTCTCATTATTTATCGCTATTTTCTATGAAAATTTAAATTGAATTCTTGTAACTTTTTTTTCATTTTTTTTCATTTTATTTGTGAAAAATATCTATTTTTTTATTAAATTATAAAGTTTTATTTGAAAAATTTATAATTAAATTTAATTATAATGATTTTTATTTAATTTTAAAACTATATTATGCTAATAATATTGAATCATATATATGTATAATTTTTATTATTATTGATTTAATTAAAATCTTAAATTTTTAATTTTTCAATTTTTTTTTATTATATGAGAAGAAGGGAAATTGTGGGAACTAACACATTGTATATGAGAATTTCACACTATTGTAATATATCTACGTAAATTCTATTTCAAATGAAAGTCTTTAAAAGTCTATATAAATTTTAAAATAAAAGTCTACTAATTCCATATAAATCTATAAAAGATCCAAGAAATTCACGAAAGTCATCACTTAAAAAAATTCATCAATATCTTCAAAAATCTCAATTGAATATACCCTCTAAATGTTTCTTGGGAAAAATTCATATTTGAGGAGACTAAGCCCTCGTTTGGCCCCCAATTATTTCAAATCATAACGGGTGAAATAATATTTCATTAAAGAATGGATGGTTGAAAAATAAGAAACATTTTTCGATTTACATGAAATATTATTTTATGGAAGATTGTGATTGAAAATAAGAAAGAGAGAAAAATAAAATTTAATTTAATGGGGGGCCAAAGTTATGGGCTAAAATGCACAATTTATTAAGGTCACAATACTGTATAATTTGCTGACAAATTATTGAATTAATTAATTACAAATTATTTTCTGGTCACAAATTATTTTTCGATCACAAAAAAAAATTAATAATAATAATTGTAACAATTTATTCATCGATTGAAAATTAAAATTTTTGTAAGTCACAGTTCATTTATAGATCACTGATCATAAATTTTATAAGCCACAAGTTATTTTACGGTCACAAATTATCAAATTAATTAGTTAAAAATTATTTGTCGATTACAAATTATTGAATTGATTGGTTACAAGTTACTAAATTCTACAATTTCAAATTTAGTCACAATCACACATTCTTCTAAATTATATATTATTTATTGATCACAAATCAACAAATTTATTGATCACAATACCCAAATAATTAATCGCAAGCTTTTCATCCCCCTCCAACGCTACCATGCCACCAACCCCATTGTTACAATCATTACTGCCACCACTACCCGCAATACCAATAACAGCACCTAAATTGCGCCGCGTACTTTGCTACTAACCACCAACACCGTCCGCACTACTCGAGAACCAACAACATCGCCTATGCACCACCAATGCCATCA